AGAAAGGAAAAATTGAAATCGCATCATATGACCCCTTTAATAACTGTACTGGTGCAATAGGAACCCTGTATGTTATGAGGGAAAGCTACATGATTTTCCTCCACTGTTGGCCCTGCCTACACACACACACACACACTTGAGTAGAGTACCTTGTTTGTTTTGGGAGCTTTCCCACTGCAAAGCACCATGCAGTATATCAAATCGGGATCTTTTGCCATTGCTTATCAAGATTAATCTGTGCACAAAGGCAATTTAACCATAAGCAGACCCATGCTTCTAAGGGAAACGGGATCAGTTTGGAGGGTTTAAAATAATAGATCACCTACATGTTGCTGACGTGTAATTATTATTCCTTAATCATTGCAGAAAGAAATAACGTGAGAAGTGAGACTATAATTGTAAGCCTTCAGACTTTATTTTTGAGACAAGATTTCTCATTCAGTGTAATGTTTCTACATTTGCTTGATCTTTTACCTTCTGTGTGCCCTGTGTCACTGACTTAAAAGGCCTAGTTCACCCAAAAATGACAAATCCAAAAGATTTCTGTCCCTCTATTGAAAGTCTATTCCATCAAAACTTTGATGCTTAAAAAAGTTAATGAAGAGATTAAAAAGAATAAAATCCATATGAATGGAGCAGCTTAATCAGGTTTTCTGAAGAGACACAGTTGATGAACAGATTTAGTTTATAGGCTTTATTAACATATAAACATTGATGAAGGCACATTAATAGAATAATTCATTTCTATTATTTATAACAGAATGTTCATTTTTGTCAAGTATCCCAAAAAGTATCTTTAAAAATTACTCATTTTAATTTTTCATATTTTATATATTTTTAATAGTTAATATTTTGACCAAGCACGGCGTATTTGTGCGCGGCGTTCAACAACGGAAACAAAGAAGAACAACACGGGTTTCACAATAATGGACATGAAATGTCGACGTATACGTAAAGCGATTGAAAGAACGGAAAGGAGAACTAAGAATCTCCAACGACAACTGGCAGTGCTACATTTGCTACAAAAGCCTGCACTTCAGCGTCCGTCCATCTATCGCTGTTCTCCATATTTGCGAAATAAGTTGACACAATGTTTACAGTATGTTTACACGGCATTTTAAATCATGGCAGGTGAGGGCGTTTTCGTACGCGTTTGGCCAATCAATGTCTACTTACGTCACGATTAGTACCAGTTGTGCTGGTTAGACCCTGCTCCGTAGTAGGAGCTAATTTGGTTCTCGAAAAAGGCAGTCCGGTACTAAAATCGCACCCAGTTCCGGCGGTGGGAAAATGCCAAAAAGTGGGTAGTTCCACAATTAGTTCTGGTACTATGAAAAGGTTCCCGCGGTGCGAAAGGCCC